AAATAATCATTAAAATAGACTACCCATAATGCATCACTGACCCATATATGTAAATAGTTGAGAAAAAAAACAACACATGTGGCCTGATGATTGTTGCATTTAGCATGAAACAGTCTGCCGCCTCTGAGTATCTATTTATATATATATATATATATATATATATATATATATATTTATAGGGAAAGTAAATTTACTTTGGATCATCTAGTGATTAAAGCACTTTCTATATATTTTCATCTAAGTAAATTATTTTCTCTTTTAATTAAAATAGCATTTTTTTAAATAAAAAAAAAATGGTCAGACTCACTATGGTGAGCAGCTAATGAATTGAGTGTGTTTTTGCAAAAAACCTTTTTTTTTTTTTTTTTTTTTTTAAGACAATTATTACAAGAATAAATTTCTATAAATTTTAGCTTATTTTGTTCTGTATTAAATTTTTTTCTGTTTTTTCCTTAAAATTGTTTGTGATATATAAAATGTCTCTTGTTTTCACACACACACACATATATATATATATATATATATATATATATATATATATATATAATATTGTAAAATAATCAACTTGATATTGCTTACACATTTTTGGCTTAATTTCTGAAACTGATGAAAGCTTCTGAAAGTTTTAGTGAATTTCTTACTGTCAGTAAATATTTTTACTGAATAAACACTTTTGTTATGAATATCACTTGTTAAGAGAAGTGGCAACAAAGGAAGCCAAGTATAGCAGCAGGTAGACAATAAGAGCATTAGTTTTAAGGTTTTAAATTCTAGGTTCATGGGACAATAGCTTAGTGGATTAAATTGTTGGTTTGTGAATTTGGAGCATAAAGACGTAGCCCCATAATATTCATCTACATGATTTCTTGATTGGTTGAATCCTTGTAGACAAATAATATTGTATTCATCAGATGTTCCAAAGATATCGGCTTGAGATCTAAGACTTATCTAGGTCAAAATCTCAAACAAAAATGAACTCTGAATTGTTTTCCATACTGGTTTAGTCCCATTACTATGGTCAAAGGTTCACTTCAGTTGTTCTTGATTTGTGCTTGTTCTTCACTCAGAACCAGTTGTACTAATTAGTAGCCTCATAATATTCTGGTACATGAATTCTTGATTGATACTCTCAAATCTTTTATCACATGCAATGCACTAATCTGTCTAATTGTCAATATTGTAATAGTTCTACATTTTAAACACTGTACTCCTACCACCTTATTTAACAATGTCAGAAAAGGTAGTTGTAATTGTTATTATCCAACAATGAGCAGATATTTAGTTTTTGTCTTAATCTGTTGATTCTATAAAAGTTTTTTAATGTAAAATTTGTATTTTATGTGATATATTTAGAAAAAAAATTAAATCCTTTTATTTTATGTAATTGCTCAAATATATTTAATCTAACATATATTATTCAAAGAAATACACACACACACACACATATACAATCAATAATTCTTATCCGACTTAAAAGTAAAATTAGAATCTATATAATAAACTAATTTCTGTATGTTTGTGTTAACCATAACACTGCAAGAAAAGTATGTTGTAGTACAATTTCTGCTAACATAATAGTATGAAAATGCTCTTTCAAAATAAAGAAAATTCCAATTTAATTGAGCCCTCAGCTGCCAAATAATTTAATTGGTCCCTATGAAAAAATGCCCAAGGGAGATAACTCTGATTCTATTAACTGTTAATAAGTTTCCCTTTTACTTAAATAAAAAAAGAGGGGCAAGTAAGAATTCAAAGCTTAGTGATAATTATTTGTATATAATTATAATGTAAATTTTATGAGTAGGAAATGACTTTACATCACATGGAGGTTGCTGAATATGTCATTTAAACAAGTATAGAACACAAAATTTATACATTGTAATAATATATGGCCTATTTAGTGGCTGAGATAGTTGTATATTTAATTCTAGTAACAGTGGTTAGTGTTTTAACTCTGGTAAATAGCTACTATTTTGAATGCTGATTTCCAAGGCAAGCTATCTCTTCTCACTTGGAAGATTGGCACTACTCAATCTTTCCATCTTTTATTTCCATTTATTTGACCAGACTAAGTGGAGCTTTTGTAAATCTTTTAATGATATAGGGGAAAAATCTTTTTCAATTGGGTTGTTGAATTTATATGCCTAATGTAGGAAAACTAGAATCTTTACAAGTATTTTATGAAAGACAATGTATTTATCATTGAACTCTTCTGTAAAATCAATAAGGTAATCTGGTAACCTGTGCAAATCTACAGTTTTATTACTACCAGCCTATTAACAAACCAATCTAATGCACTGGTAATAAATCTTTTAATGCCAGCACAATAGACTCTTTTTACACACATCAGTATTGCAAGACATGTAGGTAAACACTGTTAAGAGCATCTTACAAGTTATAAATCCTACTAAATTTAAATCCTGCTTTTGACCCAGTGACACTTTATACAAAACAACCTAGGGAAGATTAGAGATTAACTCAAGATGAATACCCAATGCCAGGCAATTAGCTAATGTCTTATTGACCAAATTTTAGAAAAATCTAAGCAGAGAGGTGATTCATCACACCAATAAACACTTGGAGTTGGTATTTTTTAAAAACTAGTTTGAAACTTTAACAGTCGTGCTTTTCTCAAAAACGAATTTTTGTGTTTCTGGAGAATAAATTGAAAATTAGTTTAATGGCTTCTATATTTATACTTGACAGATTTAAGCAACATCTGCCTGGGCATTACCAAATTGCTTTGGAGTAAAATGTATTTATTGGTTGATTTTGCTCAAGTCACTTGTATGTCTGTCTGAAATGGTTAGGGTGGGGTACATGAAATCATACCAACTGTAAATGGCCTTATTTAATTATTCTGTCCATCTTCAGAATTGAATATATATATATAATTATTATTATTATTTTTTATAGATACAATTATTTAAGTAAATGCTCTGTTTATAATAAACGGTATTAGTTAGACAAAACCGTCATAACCAGATGTTTTATTTCTAGCTGAATTGTATTGCACATTAGATCAAATAATGGTTCTGTGTAGGACACAAGTTCGATTTCTGTTGGTGGACACATATTTTCTATGAAATTTCTTGGACATTCAGCCAGTAAATGCTGTTAATACTGTTTATTATAAATAGAGTATTTACTTAAATATTTGTATCTATAAAAATAGTGTACAAATAGAAAATATATTAAAATAATTGTCAGACTTAGTCCATTTTCTTTATATATATAATTCTTCATTTTTGACACTTTTATGCAATATTCCATGCTGTGTATATTTGGAAGCATTGAATACAATGTCTACCTGAAGAAAAACAAAGAATCTGTTGACCAGAATGATGTTTAAAAACAATATGGAGATTCTCATCTGAAAAATGCCTGGAATGATCCTATGCTTACCTTTTTTCTTGAGGATTAGAATTCTTGAACACTTAATAGGAATTCTGAGATTGATAGGAAACTAAGACAATAAGAACCAATTTACTGAGATCGGGAAGCCAATAGTGACTTCTTCAATGTTCAATGTTGTATATAAAGAATGAACAAGTGGTTGTTAATCCTTTCTTGATGAAATAGAAGAAAATCAATACAACTGGCCTGTAACAACACACACACATTTCCATGTCAGACAAGGGCATCAGATCCACTTTTCACACAAGAGAATTCTAAGAAAATTGCATTCACATTTTGGTTATTGAAATGGGTGCAGCCCACTTATTATATCTGTGATGGACAAATAGAATCCAGTGTTGGCCATTGTATCCTAACTCAAAATTTGATCACTGAAGAAAGGAATTACTTTCCCTACCAAAGAATTCATTTCCTGGTTGGCTTTCAGTTTTGTTTTACTTGGGATCTTTGTGGAAACAACATCTACAAAATTTCCCTTTTTGTTAAGATTTGCATTTTGTGTTTCAAGTCAACACTAATAATAATTCTCATTTTTCATCCCATAATTATTACTTATCCATAAAGATTACAGCTGGTCATTTTTCCAACCATCTTTAGGTAATGTTTTCATCTTAACATTCTTCTTCAATGTTGCTATCTTGACTGGGTTTTGAATTTATAAATAAATTCATGGAATTTGTTGTTTATATGACTCTATAAATAGCTGCTTTCTGAACTCATTCCTTATTATTTTTATTTTTTTTAATCTTTTTTTTATCAGATGCTAAATTCCTCAGTATGTTAACTGGTTATAAAATTTTTATAATTATTAGAGAAGTGACCAATTGCCTCCAAATGAGAATGCATAATTTAATAAAGAGAAAAAAATGGCAGATTTTCTACTTTGAAATTTTTCAAAGAGTGCAAAATACTTAACAAAATATTGAAAAATGTCTTTTTTTCTCCATTTTGTTTGTTTGCACCGTGATGTCCTTGAGCTCTTGTAAATTTAGCTGTTAAATGAAAGTGATAGAAGTTTAAATAAATTTAGCAGGCAAAGAATAGAAATGCAACCGCCCCCCCCCTCATGAAAAAATCAGTAATAAAACAGTGTTCATTACTAATATTTTATCTCAGAATCTCCTGGAAACTTAATATTGGATCACAATGATGAAGGCATGAACCAAAACAAAATATATGCAACAATGAAAATATTTAACCTAAAAATATCAACAAAAATAAATGTTACAATTTTTTTTTCCTAACAAATGAAATGAAGTCTTTAAATTTGGTAAGTTTATCATCCTGTATCATCTGTGTAAATATTTTTTGTACATTTTTTCATACCCTGTATCTTGAGAATTTCTCATATAACCAATATTTTTTGTATTTCTTCCCCCCTCTCTCATATATATATATATATATATATAAAATCTCCATCAATAAAACCTTTATTAGTCTGAAATCCTTTTGAAGGATGAAATGCATAGGGTTTTTTCTGTTTTTATCATTAAGCTACTGATAAATGTTTCTCTAAATTTAGGCGACTCTCCTTTTCCATTGTTTCCAAATTCTAATTCGCAATCTTTTTGTTTTTCTTTCAGATTTACTTACACTTGCGCTATTATTCCTGTCCAAATGAGCAGCTGTGGATTGTCCGAATTCTATTCATTGTCCCTATTTATTCATTTGACTCTTTCCTCAGTCTTATGTTCTTTAACAATGACAGTTATTATATTTACGTGGATAGTATAAAATATTGCTATGAAGGTAAGTGAGGGTTTTTTTCTATAATTTCTATAATTTTTCTTTCTATGATTTTTTTTTTTTTTTATTTCTATTTAATTTTCTGGCATGAACAGTTATCATTATTTACATTTAGACTATTGTCTTCATCTTTGTTGTCGTTATGAAAAGGTTTCAGTTGCTGCATTCTCCAGCCTTCTTCAGGTGCTTGTTGATCTAGATCTCCTTCAGTGAATCTTGAATCCTTTATTTAATCTACTGGGGTAGATTGTTCTCAGATATATCATCTTGTTCTTTTTTTTTTTTTTTTTATTACTGCTCAATTATTGCTTGCCTTGTATAAACTGAGCGTAGCTATACACTACCTAGCTCAGGGATTGAACTCACAATTACTATGTCATTAAATTCCTGAACAAATGCTTTAATACATTATCATTTCCAATATAACATCATGCTTTCATTATGATGCTATAACTTCATTGGCTTAAGTCAATTTTATTACCATTAACAAAGTGGACCACAACAGCTAGGTCCACTGATAATTCACCTTCAGCCAATTAGGAAACCTTGGCCCTTATTATATAGCACTGTCCTTTCATTCGTCTATCTTTTATTACCACTACTAAGGTGGGACTACAATACTTGGATATACACCACCAGTTGGGTAGTTCGGCCCATTAAATTCTTGTCATTATGTCAAGTGAGTGACCATGGTTAAATGCAAAATAAATGTCAGAATTGTCCAACAAGCAGAATTGACAAAGTTTGCAATAAGAAAAAGAAAAGAACAGGGCAAAAAATAATATAAAGCAAACAATATATGCAAAACAAATTAACAAGACAAAACAGCAGTAATATGGCAAAAAGTTCACAAACTAAGAATAAGGGTTGACACACAAGAGCAAGTTCAGACAAGCGAACATAGCGTTCTGACTTCAAGACAGATTGGGAGTGAGTCATATGAAACCAAGAATTGGTCTGTTTTATTGGCTAGGAAGAAATTCCAGCATGCATTTGTGTGCTTCTGCCTATAAATTGGGGAGGGGGAAAGTATTTTGCAGTCATTTCTACTCTAGATTGAAAACAATACATTATTCCCAAAACCTTTTTTTTCTGCATGAGTGAAATCTGAAATTATTGAAGTTTATCAATCCATCATTTGAAACAAAGTCGTCTTTATCCAAATAAGATGCCTCTAGATATTTCAAAACTCTGGCAAAATGAAAAGAATCTTATCCTCTGAAAGATGAAAAAGTAATTTCATGGCTATATTTCTATCTATCTCTCTCTTCCACTCACTTGCAAAATAAACAGGAACCCCTTGTCAGTCTCTTGATAAAAATCATTTTCCCTTCTCTTTCACTTGAGCTGACCAAACTAGAATCAGTTGTTTGTAAGAACAACCTGGTTTTTAAATTTCAAATTCAAATCTTTGTGTCTCACCTAGTATTTTTCAGTTCTAAAAGAAAATTCTTTCACTTTCCTAAAAAAAATACCTTTTAGTAATAAACAAAGTTAACTTGTACTCTGACTTGACCATTAATGAGATTTGGTATAGTTTGGGAGTTCTTGTAAAATCCACATTATTCATATCTTCATTTATGTAGCTTCTTTTTGGAATGAATGAAGCATTTTATTAAAACTTAACTAAATTTAAAAATGAAGTCCAGATATATTCTTCAATAGCTTATAAATTGAATGATAAGTTGTGAAGTGTTTATCATGACAAATCAGAAATGGGGTCTGGTCTGATGCTTCTGCTATTTAAAGATTCTTGATTAAATGCCATATTATTGGTCCTGATCTGGCATCTCAGTTTCAGTCACTTTCCCACAGCTGTAACATAGCTGTGCCTTTTCTATAAATATTTTCATGGTAATTGTTCAGATAAACCTTCCTCTATAGTACCTGGACTTTATAAATTTAAGCACAGTATAAATTGGCTGCAAGGTCTCATTTTACAATGGAAATGGTTAGATGCAACCATAAGTTTTGTGTGAACAATTTTTTTTCTCCTGCACTTCTCATTTGTGAAACTCTCTTCCAGCTTCTTGCTTTCCAGTTAAATTTGATCTTTGAAAATTTAAATGCAATATCAATCATTTTCTTTTGTCTTAATTCCTCCTCTTTTATTGTTTCCATTCTTTAATAAGGTTCTTATTTTCATATTCTATCACACTCAGTAATTTCTTGTCTCTTATTGGCTTTATTGCTTTGCATGATTTTAAAAAAAGTTGCTTGATAAAATTATCATTGATAGCAAATTGTGCATTGCTCAGAGCAAAGCTATTACAATCAATATTTTGCTGTGAGCAGATAAATTTCACAAATCTGAAAATCATTACTCTTTGTTCATCCCATTTTGTCTCCTCAAATGATCTCTATCCACATCAATTTTTACCCTTTGTTTTCTATTAACCCATTTCAAGTAGCACTTAACTAAGCTGAATTTACCAAACCAAATAGAGGGCTAACATAAAAATACCTGGTGGAAAACAAATTGAAAAAATTTGACCCCTTTTTAACAACTTGCTTAAGCTGCACTGAAAACATGCTACAAATAAAAAATGAAAATCATCTGTACACCACAAACTCCTACACACCCCGCCTGTAACTGCTGAAGAAAGTACAATGACCACTAAACAATAATTGCTGTCAAACTAATGTAATATGCCAAGTTACAATAAGATCAAAAGGAAACCCAGAAAAACTACATAGGAATCCCTGGAAACAGAAGATACTCATAGAAAACATCACTTAAACAAAAATATGCAAATTGCACAACCTTATCAAAATATACATTTACATTGTTCAGACTGTTTTCCTCATCTTTATTGCCATATTCATAATGTTTCGGCCATTGTATGTTCTGGCCTTCTTCAGGTGATTGGAATTTCAAACTGAAACCTTTACTTTGTCCACCAGGGTACATTGTTCTAGTTCCACATGCTATGCCTCTTCTGGAATGTTGCTCTTTAACTCAATTCTCTAAGTTTTTTGTTCACCACTGCAGTAGCCAGGTATTGAACACTCAACTCTTTGGGTCAGTTATAAACTAAATGTCTCAGTTCAATTTTTTAACAGAGCTCATATGGCAATTCTGTTATTATTGCTTTTCTCTAGCACTCCATATTACTGGTTCTTATATTGTATTCATTACTATGCTTGGCCAGTTTAGGAGATTTTTGTCACCTATCATATGTGCTGATTCCTTAAGTTTTCATATTTTCCTGTGATGTTCACTATTATTTCAAGCTCATCCCACAGGGAGCAGTGATCTCCCTTTACCCTGCATATGTGGTCAGCTATGCCTGATTTTCTATTTCCCCTCATGTTACAGCTTTGATATTCTTGCTGTCTTACCTTAAGGTGGTGGCCTGTTTGTGGATAAAAGCATTGGTTGAATCCAGCGACTTGACCCAAAGAGTTGTGTGTTCAATACCTGGCTACTGCAGCGGTGAATAAAAACTTGGAGAGTTGAGTTAAAGGGAAATAACAGGGACATTCTGGAAGAGGCATGGCACATAGAACTAGAACAATCTACTCTGATGGATGAAATAAAGGGTTCAATTCAAAATTCCAATCATCTGAACAAGGCCAGAGCATACAACAGCCAAAACGTCATGAATATGGCAATAAAGATGAGGAAAATAGTCTGAACAATGTAAATAATTACAATATCTCATCTCAGAAATAGACAGATACCTATCAAATTATGTATGACAACTTAAAAACAGAACCCAAAACACACCAAAAGTAACATAGAAACTAATAACAATACCAGCTTATAACATCTTAAAATAATGTAATCTTTGCTTAAAAAAGAATATGGCCTCTCCTGATCACCTTTCTAGAACAAGATAAACTCCTAAACAAAAGATCAGAGCTAATTTCAAAATGCAAACACAAAAACAAATTCTGTGACACATCTTACAATCATACAATGATTCAAAAAGATAAAATAAAATCCATAACCTAAATTAATAAACTTTATTCCAAATGCCAACATTTACAACAAAATAAGTATTAGTCCTAAAAAGAACTGGGAAATGTCAGTTTTTCTTTCCTCACTTTCTTTAATCACTCAAGGGCCTGTGTATAGAACCTGGAGTAGACGTAAAGAATCTCTTAAGGCATGAAACTGACAGTTATCATGCACTGTTGATTCTTACATCCACACTGACTATATCTATAAGTGTTCTATCACCAATATTGATCAGGCATTCTCTATAGGTATAGCATATTTCAATGTGTGTAAAATTTACATATAACAGAAAATAGTCTATAAACAGCAACTGATATGCTAGGATCTGGTCTCCTTTAAGAAATTGTTTGATTTGGGGTGAGCACTATTAAGTTGCAAACTGGATTGCAAAATTTGAGAATTTTGATGGGTTTGTGCTAACAAAATTCTTGATACAATGTTCCACTCTTGCTGTTTTATGATAACGACCTAACCAAATTTGTATATTATCAAGCAGAAAATTATTTGCAAATAAACGAATAACATTGTTCTATAATTAGCATTTACTATATCTGGAGTTATGTCCCTTGAGAAATTAAATTGCAATAATATAGATTATCAAGGTGTGTTACTGCAGACCTCATACTATTAAGTTGAACATTGGGCTGGAAATCACTTTATTTTCCTGGTTAGGACATATTAATGGTATTGCCCTAGCAGAAATCTTGCTACAATGTGTTAGTTTTAAAAGCAGAAATCTTTATTATTATGTAACTACAATAATGAAATGGGATATACAAAATAAATACTACTGTGATTGTACAAAATAGTTTGATGATTTCATAAGTTTCAAAAAGAGTTGTTATCAATTAATCAAGGTTTAGTTTTAAGATTTTCATGGAGAGGAGCTTATCAAGTCAAAGTTGAGTTGAGATACAGTCTTGAGATTACTGCAGACTGAGAAACCAATATGCTAAATTTGACATGTGGGTACACTCACATGACCACTTTAGATTTATTTAGTGGCATGTTTTATGATACTGATTATATATTCCTTCTA